GATCTGTACGCAATTCCTGGAAGCTGAAAACATCCCAGTTCTTGCATGGCCAGCATACTCACCGGACATGTCACCCATTGAGCATGTTTGGGATGCTCTGGATCGGCATATATGACAGCGTGTTCCAGTTCCTGCCAATATCCAGCAACTTCGCACAGCCATTGAAGAGGAGTGGACCAACATTACACAGGCCACAATCAACAACCTGATCAACTCTATGCGAAGGAGATGTGTTGCACTGCGTGAGGCGAATGGTGGTCACACCAGATACTGACTGGTTTTCTGACCCCCCAGACCCCCCAGTAAAGCAAAACTGCACATTTCAGAGTGGCCTTTTATTGTGGCCAGCCTAAGGCACACCTGTGCAATATTCATGCCTTAGGCACACCTGTCCAATATTCATGCTGTCTAATCAGCATCTTGATATGCCACACCTGTGAGGTGGGATGGATTATCTCGGCAAAGGAGAAGTGCTCACTAACACAGATTTAGACAGATTTGTGAACAATATTTGTGAGAAATGGTCTTTTGTGTATATAGAAAATGTTTTAGATCTTTGAGTTCAGCTCATGAAAAATGGGAGCAAAAACAAAAGTGTTGCGTTTATATTTTTGTTCACTGTATGTTAGACCAGTGGTGTTGTTAGCCCTGGGCATCTGAGGCTTTAGCTCTAAATGTTTTATGAATAGCCCTGGATCTTGATTGGCTGTAGCCTATATATGTTTTTAAAAAATAAGAGTAGGCCTAATAACAAATAAAAAAAAGCTCCAGATCTAATAATCTGCCATTTGGTCATGCATTAGAGCCCTACAAAATTATATGATATTGTAGATGAAAAACCCAAGGTTTAGGTCCTCTGTGTCATCCAAGCAGAGCATTCTGTGAGATTATTTGCAAGAGACAGCGCTACTACTGCTGGGTAGTTTAATCTGTAATTATGCATTGTCATTTATTAGTTGATTATATTTTATATAAATGAAGTCTTCAAAGTAACTAAATCAGCAAATAAATTCAGTGCAACAAAAGCTGTTTCCCAAGTTTTTCAAGTGCAAGTATGTCAAAATTTTCTACATTTTTATGATAGCAGTTGCAAAATATTTTTCTTCTCTTTAATATCACAATTCATAAAAAATGTAGAATTATTTTTAAAAATAGTTCTTAAGAGTAAATTAGAACACTGAAATAGGATTTGTTCATCATCATCGTCATCAGAAAAAGTAAAAAATAAAAAATAAAAAAATAAAGAAAATTCTAGGAGAAGATCCCCCTGTTAAATGTCAATACAGTAAACACATCCCATCCCAGAAGTCACTGTAGACTTCTTCTGTATCAAATAAAGTGAGTTCCTCAACATGCTATTAACTATAAAAATAAAACTATTTTTAATAATGCTGTAGCTGCCATGAGCAGACGTTGTATTGCAGAGGTGCATATTATAGAAAAAACTAATTATGCAGAGAAGTTCAGTAAGAACATTTTGAGACTTGGCAGAGACGTCCATTAAAAAGCTCTCCTCGTTATGTTGCTGCAAATTAGCATTTATGAATGCAATTTCTAGTGGTGCAAAACACATTTGAAATTACTGTTTAAGTTCTGAAAGACTTACTGAATGTGCATTGTGAGTTATTTGAGGTATTACAGTTTGTGGGTGAAGGAAGTGTAAATTGATGCTATGTTGGCTTAGGAAATGTAGTTACCACTGTCAAATGCCAGAAAATATAAATAGAAATTTAAGTAATCTTCCTTCAGAGACAGGACATGCTCTGCTCTGTTTTTATCTCTTTTACTTCAAAATAAAGTGATCTTTTCATTTGCAATAATGATAGATATATATATATGTATATATATATATATACTACTACATATATATATATATATTTATATGTATATATATATACATATATATACATATATGTAGTAAAACAGAGGCATGCTGTGGCAGAGCATCGTGTACGAAGGTCATTCACAGTTTCCAAGTTATACTTCTTTTTTTCTAATATGACAGTTTTTCTCATCATAACAACTCCCCAGAGCCTTGTGTTATGAACATCTAATATATTTCTGTTGACAGTCAGACCATTCTTGTGTACAGCGGACGGCCAACATGGACAGTGCGAACAAAGCTGTGCATGTTCTGCCAAGAGAGCTTTGCACAGAAAGAGCTGTTTTCCTGGGCTGGATAATTACATTCCATGCAGGCGATAACGGAGAAATGTTTGCTCTCCACTGCTCTGCTCTCACTGCGTTCGTCTACATTGTTGCTAAATTGTGAGCAGAATGGAAGCTATTGATTTTTTTGCAGTTCTGCAGTGTGTTGACCTTCCATTTACCTATTAAACGTAGAGGATGTTGCTGAGGAAGCGCACACATTGAAAATCACAAATGTTCACCTAAAGGCAGTATACAGAACACATTCAATTTAAAATTAATGTCAGAGAGGATTTGAAAATAGATGTAACAGATCTGGACTTGAGCTTCAAAATGGAGATGCACTATTTGGAATGTATATATATATATATACATATATATATATATTTACATATATATATTTACATATATGTATATATATAGCCCATGTATAAATATTGCTCTTTTAAGACATGAAGTCTGTGGAGCCCATTATGTTACATTCAGTTCTTCCCAGCATCCTTCTAATATTGTATTATTTGAATTAGTGAAGTTAAACTGTGGATTGGCTGGATGGAAACTGTCAGGGAGGTTACCAGCATTTTACCAGCATTTTACATCACTGTTGCATGTCCTCCTGTCTTGTATTTCTGCCAGTAAACCCCACAGGTTTGTTGATGAGGCGCAGCACAGATTCAGTTTGTTTTGAGTCTGATTATGTGCTGCCTGCAGCTTGTCCTTAGGCTACCAGAGTACATGTATGTTTGTTTATTAGACTATTTAAAGCACTTCTCTGTAGCTATGCACAGATTTACATCTTCAAACATTTCTTCATTATCTGCTGCCACATTACCAAATACTATATAATTGAAATGGTTGTTGCAGACACATTTGCTATTTTGTTTTTACCAGAATGGATTTTTAAAGGTTGATAATAATATATTATATATATAATATATTTGTGCCAATGTTGCCAATTCCGGACATTTCTGCTGATATGGAAAGCACAACACAGCATTAGCCTCTGCTGCTCAGAATGGAATACCATCACCCATCTGTGGAAGATAGCGGATCAGAACTTTCAGTAACAGAAACAACAAAGGAGCCATGATGTGAATAATCCTACAGTTCATTCCTCTGTTTATATTCAACATTGCACCAAAGTATTAGTGATGTCATGGTAATTACTACTATATAAGAAGGATTCAACCAGCTGTGTTTGTAATATCTTTAACTTCAACATGTAACCTAAGTTTTAAAAGTTTTTCCAAAATTCATACAGGCATTAAAAAGGTTACAGGAGCTGCTCTATTTGCAACATATATGTACCATATGTTCCAAATACCTTGGTCAGTGTGGTGGCAAAGGTTTATATTGAGGCCATGAATATCCCTTTTCCACCAAAATGGAACTGATTCTGTTCAGGTCCCTGCACCTGTTTTTGAACTGACCCAAAATAAATTGGTTTGGAACCTGAAAAGTTGGTTCCCTGCTGGGGAATATGTATATACATGGTATATATACACACACACACACACACACACACATAAATATGTGTAAGGTTTTAAAAGGTATACATTGGCCTATACCTATTAAAATAACAAACAAATGGAAAAAAGGGTGATAGGAAATAAAAAAAGAAACCTGTAAACCTTAAAAAAAAGTGCTCCGGACCAACGCTCCCAACGCGCAATACTTTCTTAAAGTTAACAGGTAGAACATGACAGGCCTACTTGACAGGTATATAACCTGATATATCAGTCTAACCTAGTTCCACACTCTTAACATGGACAGACAAAAACACTGAGAATCCATGTTGGAGATTAAATAAAGCCCTTCTCCCCACGTCCAGCATGTTTGAGGGGTTTTTCAGAGTGATTTTTTTGGTTGCAGCTCAGTGTCCAACTCCTCTTGGAGAGGAAGCATAGGAGGTCACCGAGACCTCTTGCTTCCTTAACCCCTTCCTTTATCAATGACTGTACACCCCCCCCCCCCAAACACCAGGCCAGATGAGTGTGTGGCCAACAAGATTGGACCCTCTCCTCTGCGGCTGATATATAGTTTCATTCAGATGGACAGTAATTCTGTCAGCTCTGTGTCAGATGAATGTGTGTCTGGGCCTATTAGCAGCTGCGGCTGCAGAATTACTGACTGCTGTGTCCTTCATTTTACAGACAATCTTGCAGTGAGGGACGTGGGGGTGGGGGATGGGGTGGGGGCTCAATCTGAAAACACACCCATCCCCCAGAGCAGAGCAGATGTGACTGGGAGAGGTTGGGAGGGGTTAGGGAGAGGTGAACAGGTTGAAGAGGTCTCAGACAATTCTCGTAAATACACAACATGGAACACGGCAATATCACAAACAGCCAACATCAGCGCACTTATTGCCACCCAGCATTACTTAATTTCTCTGCTCTCCTTTTTTATGGTCTCTCCATTTTTCACTTCATCTGTTTATTTATTTGAAATCAGAAGCCAATTTAATGGCCAAAATGAGTTTACATATAAAAGGAATTTAGCCATGTACAATAATAAACACAACATCACAAAACGACAGAAAATAGAATTGAAAGACACTTTGAAAAGGACGACATTGATTTCTGCTTCCATACAACATGATCACAGAGACAGGAATAATCAGGACTTGTTACAGTTTTCAAAGAATACTGATCAGGATTATCAGTGTTTGAATAACAAAGAGAAGGAAAATACTATAGTATGTATGAACAGAGTGAACCTAAGACTGTAGACATGCATTAAGATAATGTCTTTTGTCTCTCTGTCTTTGTCTTTATCGCTCTCTCTCTGTGTGCGTGTGTGTGTGTGTGTGCGTGTGTGTGTGTACATGTGTGTGTGTGGTGTGTTTCCTGGAGGTGGGAGATCAAATGAAGCTGCTCCATAACTGCTGGTCTGAACTTCTGGTCCTGGATCACATTTTCAGACAAGTGCAACATGGACAGGAAGACAGTATCCTGCTGGTGACCGGCCAGGAGGTAACAACTCCCTTATACAGCAGCTTCCCAGAAGCACAATGCACAGTCTGCTTCATTCACTTGCACGTGCGGCGTGTATTGTGTTTGCTTTAGTGAAGGACTTGGAATTTCTTTTTCTGTTTTTTTTTTTTTTGCCAATGTACAGTCATTTGTAAGGCTTGAAGGTTAACAGCAATGCTGATATCTGAAGCCACTGATCCATACTTTGCACCAAACTCAAAATATTTGTTATTTGTTTTTTTAAAGGGATTTTTAAGTGGGATTGTATGTATATCAATCAATCAATCAATCAATCGATTTTTATTGAACATGTTAAAACAAAATAAAAACAAAACAAGGCAGAATAAGGAATAAAGCCTACACACCAATATTAACAACAACAACCAAAAAAAGTAATCAACAGGCAACAAAGCCTTATCAGTTTGGAAAACAGTACATCTGTCTATAGTCAATTTATCACCCAAACATCATGTCCAAAAGGGATAGGAAGAAGTTATAAGAAACTTTTCTAGTCCTATCCCCTTGTCCATCTGCTTTAGTATTTAGTGCAAAAAAACAAAAACATAATAAACCTAATAAAGTTTGCCTATGAAGTGCTTTTCCTTGTGCAAGCCCATTTAGACATAAGCGCAATAACCAAAATCAATTTCCTGTAGGCCTGCCAACAACAGCCCATACCTACCAAGAAGACTACAAAAAACATTATTGCATCCATAGCATATTACATATTACATACAGTAGATGTTAGTCAGCATGCCCCCAGTTTGGAGAAGCAGGCTGGAGTCTGACATGGAAGATTAGCAATGTACTGTTATGGATTTGGGTCAGCACCAAAATGTATTTTAGCCACCTAAAAAAGTTCAATATAAATTTAAGTGCACAAATATTTGAATTGCTTTACCTTTCTGTCACACACCCTGTTCTGACGGGAAAGCTGCTTACAGCTTCAGTTTCCCGTCTACGCTCTTGCCAAAGCACCAGAATCCACTGACAAAAACAGTAATTTTAGCACACTGAACACATGAGCTACTTGTCTACCACTGCTTTGATTGATTAGTTAGTTTGTGTCATTGTGTGACTTAAGTTAATCCGAACCAACCCTTGTACATGCAAAAGTTAAACAAGTACACAAACAAAATAATTAGCTGAGGCAGCAGTAGATCAGCAGCTCCTGTGTTCATTATTGTTAAATCCTTATGCCTATCAGTGGAGTCTGGCTTTGAAGAAGGTAATATAACAGCTTAATTTTCCAGTTGTAAATCACTGTCTGACATTAGTTTGAAGCAGTTAAAATACTCTTAATATAACATACACTTTAACTGATATCAATTTTTCAATTTTTTTGCCCCTAAAATACATTTTGTTGCTGACCCCTCAGCAGCAGTAGACTCCTTAGCTTCCATGTTGGACTCCAGGGCATGACAACCACCATCTACAGTATGTAATATACTGTATTTGGATAAGCACTCCATACAACCCCACTCAGAAAAACTGAGCTCTCCCTGTAATGCCAAAAACTAGATATGCTTTATATAAAGTTTTCTCTAGAACTGCATGTGCGTATCAAACTGTGAAACAGATAAAATTGAAATTCTTTTAGCGTTAGTAGCTCTGTTGGACATGGTGACCATACTTATTTAATGGAAGGAACAGTGGAGTGCATCAAATGAATGCATTGACACTTAAAATTAAGAACAATGAAGTGCTTAGAATGAAGCACAAAATCAGATTTGTTTTTTCCATACTTTTGTGGTTCGGCAGTCTTCATAAAGCTGGTTGAAATGAGGTACATTTATTCCTGAAGACAATTATTTGACAATGTAATGTAAGTTTTGATGATAGAGAGGCTAATGAAGAGATTTTGCTGATGACCTCATGAACACATTTAGGACAGCATCATCACACAGCTTACCTGAAGCTACCACTTGGAGTATTCCAGCACCGGAAAACTGCACGAATTGTACAGGGAGTGGGAGGAATGGGAGGAATTTTACATACTGTAAAATTATCATCACATAATGTGTTGCAGGTTTAAAATACTGACCAACGAACATTATGTAAAAATATAACATTGTTCATTAATACAAACAAATTATATTGACCCCATACACTGCAGAGTGAAGGTGGTATTGAAATGCCATATACACGTAGTTTTATGTTCTTTTCCTGTGTGTATGGAACACAGCACAGACATATGTATCGTCTTGACACTGAAATATATATAGGCAGGAGGATTCAGCTGGGTACACACTAGATGCAGAGGCACCTCAATTTGTTTACTGTCGCACATATGCCTGTCAGCAGTTGCATGGCCGTTCACACCAGAAGCGCATTTCTCTGTGCCAGTCAGCAATTCATTCTGCCCTCTGCTCTGTTTAAATCACATGTAGATAGTTTTTTTAGTAGATAGACTCAACTGTATCCAAACAGACACATGCTACTGTTTATGTACACAAAAGTATGTTGAACAATATTGCATATATTAGATATGTAGTGCATAGTATGTGATTTCAGATGTAGCAGTGGAATGCTGATTTTGTGGACCCACAGAATTATTTATACCCAATGAGCTTTATGTAGTGTTCTCAGTTCTGAAACAGAAAATGTACCCATATACTCAGAATGTTCCCCTGGCTGCTTTCACTGTCATCGAGAACATCTTTCACTATTCATTGTCTATGGAGCAGCTCCAGACTTTATGACATTACAGATTAAGGTTTTGTAACTCCTGTTTTTTTTACTGTTATTATTATTTCTTCTTCTTCTTAATAATAATAATAATAATAATAATAAGGATAATGATGATGATGATGAGAAATAAACACAAACAACTAAACTAATAAAAAGTAATATTAAATGACAGACATTAGAAGGATATGGTAAGTGCTAATTTGCAGTCCTTGTCTTCTTCTTATTTTTGTGTACTGGATGGCTTTTTTTCCACGTTTTTTCTTACTCTCATGTGCTCCAACCCCTCTCAGTGTGGCACTGTGGGCAGCTTTCTATGTTGCCTATAGGATGGGTTTGGGTTGCTACTGATGTTTAGTTATAATTATGGACTGCCTCAGACCCAGCCAAGTCACCAGAAGATTATGTTGGCATTTTACATTTCTACAAACCTCAAATATGTTACATTTGCATGTTTCAAATATGAGCATTTCTAAAGTGACATAATATATGAGCTGACTTGTAATAGGAGAATGAAGGGGTTGGCAGATGTCGTGGCACCCAATCAACTGCTGCAGGCCACTGTTTGAATCCAATAAGAAACAACACTTGATATTTTTTAGTGAGTTATTGTTGTGTTTCCAGCTACTTTTTAGGCACCAACCAGGATGACTTCTAGGGACCTGTTGCTGTGTTTCCCAAGGCTTTTAGCTCCCAAAAATGGGTGTTTTTTAAGTGACCCATCCCTGTTTTTCCAGCAGGGATAGTGCCACAAAAAGGGTTATTTACTGAGACTTTGCTGCGTTTCCAGTTGGGATTGTACCCCCAAAACCAGGTATTGCAAGCCAAAATCTGCCACATAAGTAAAAATGCAACATATCTGTGGTTTGCAGAAACATACAATGCCAGCGTTTTCTCTGGCAACTACGTTGCTCAGACAATAGGATTGCTACATATGAATTTTGAAAAAAAACCCAACACTACAAAACTAAAGTTGAGTGATACATTTAATTTCCCCAACTCAAAATACAGAAAAAAAATTAAGTCCTCCAAAAAGGCCAAGGTTGGGGTTTGAATTGTAATGTGCCTCATTGACCTTGCTAAGTCTCATGGATATAAGGGACTAAGAATATAACCAGTAGCCTGTGTTTTCAGGTCGAGCTGTCATTCATCCTGTCCCAAGCTGAGGCGACTCTGTCCAGTCTGGTCCAGAGAGGTCAGGAGCTGGCAGCGAGGCTTCGGGCACTGCAGCTGGACCGCAGAGAGATTGCTTGTCTCAAATTCCTCCTCCTGTTCAACCCCAGTAAGTCCAACAAATTGCATTTTGAGAGAAGTGATGCTACCGTCATAGCTGATATCTGACTTACCGTGAGGGTCACCATAATGTGATATTCGGTTTGGCAGGCTGAAACAGCTTAAACAGGAACAACAGTATTCATACAGTAGTTCATATACAGTATAGAGTCTCTTCCTTTAAACATCAATATAAGCACAAATAAGGGCGATTTATCCTGGTTTGATCTATCTGCTGATAAACGTGTTTCTTATCTCAGGCCTGAGCTTACAGGTGTAGGTTGTAGATTGTTTTTTTGTTTTTTTTTTCAGAAGAATGGTAGGTTTTGATGTAAAAATCTATCAACTTGTTGGGCTGCAGGGCCATACTGATACTATGCTTTGGTGGAATTTGAATAGCAACGCTGACATTTTAATGAAAAAAATGTTATAATTGCAGATTATCTGCAATATCTATTTATCTGTAAGGTTACAAGCGTTTTCCAAACTGGCCTTTTTCCCTACGATAAATTCACTTAATTAAATTTCTAGGGTTGACAAAAGCCAATATTAACAAAGACATCCTCCTCCATTGTCCACTAATGGCATTCAAAAGAAGCGTAATGGATGGGTCTGTCATTCGATGGCAGGACCAACATTCATGTAGCGGCTTGTGCAGATGGAGAGAGCATAGATGTGGCTTGCCCAGATTCTCAGAAGTGTTTGCTGTTTAGCGCTGGCAAGCTGGGAACAAAGAGCTTTTGAATGGGAAGAGCACTTGTCATAGACAGAAAATATTTGCTGTCTTTGCCTGTGGCTTCTTTGCTCTCGCTCTCGCTCTCCCTCATCTTCAGAGTCAGGTTTGTCGGGGGTAATTTAATTGCCCTTAAGCAGTTTGAAAAGATGATTCAGAACATTGATTCAAAACATTTAATTACTGTGTGAATGGATTCTCCAAGATGGGCTCAGCTGACGCTGAATGCCGGTCCACCGGAGGGCTTGGCTATTGTCTCTCTCTCTCTCTCTCTCTCTCTCTCTCTCTCTCTCTCTCTCTCTCTCTCTCTCTCACACACACACACACACACACACACACACACACAGACACACACACACACACACACACACACACACACACACATACTGCCACCCACACTCCACGCACTCACCTTATTTCATGCCTAAAGTATAGATACAGCATACAAATAAAACCTAGTAGCTGGCATTCATATCATAAATGAATGGTTTATATTCAACTTTCAAACTGTTTTATTTCTTCTCGCTTTCTTACTCTTTATACTATGTTAGTCGCTCCAAACATCTAAAATTGCTGCAGATGCTTTTACATTGGAGTAAGTTAAAAGCCTGGTGCATCTCATAGAGACACTAATGGGTGCCTTATGTCTGTATCAGATGCCAATGGGCAGGACAAAGCCTTGGTATTTGCAACATGCTCTCATCCCAAGTCATCACATTATCACTGCTTTGTCAGTGGACTCTCAAGTCAACATATTACATGCCAGGTATCCTTTTGTGTTTGCTGTTTATGTTCCAGGAGGAACAATGAACAATGAATGCTGGGATGTCAACAAAAACACATAGTTAGGTTTAGAAAAAAACATCTTGGTTTGGGTCTACATTCATACGGGAAGCAAAGAATAGCCTCCAGGGTGAAAGTCTGGAGTTTGTTGGACTCATCTACCACCCCGCCCCACTCTTTCTAGGACGTTCTAGTTCCTTATATGATGCCATTACAGACATTGTTTCAGGCTGATACCTGCCAGCAGTGTATCATACTGCCGCAACAGGTGCCATCCGCCTGCATTATGAATGGTGCAGTCTGGCTAGCTGGTGGTGTATCATAACACTGCAAAAGGTTCTGTCTGGCTGTGTTACAAAATGGTGCCACCCGGCAGCATATCATACCGCTGCAAAAGGTGGCTTTTGGTGCCAGTGTCCGACGCCAAAATCACTGACAAAGTAGTGGTATTTGACGACTTTGGAATAAGAATGGTCTGGTATCTGATGACCTTGGAATGATAACGGGTTGACAAATACGGACACTTATAGGCTTTGTTATGGCAGAAGCACAAGACGTAAACAATTTCTCAACTGGAACAGGAGAACAGAAACTGCCCAACAAATCTACATCTTAGAGAAGTACTGAAGTATTGAGAAGTATCATGATTCAATTCGAATCAATCACATCCTCTGAGAATTAGTTCCAAACTAAAAGTGATTCAATAGCTGATTCTCGGCAAGAATTTAAAGCAGCTCCCCTAAAGGATTTACCAAAAGGTTTTCTACACATGCTGCCTGTACCACGGACAGTATATGCCCCATAAGTATCTGACCAAAGCAGTATTAAGTATTCTCAAAGTGACATAACACGTTATCTGAAAACAAAGCCTCAGCTACCAAAGACTACAAACTGAAATTACACAACAAAAACATTTAACACCACACAAATAGATTTCCTTGAACTCAGAAACTTGTTGGTCAAATTGTCCTTATACAACACAAAGGAACCTTGCTAGTATGCATAACTCATACATGAATACAACTAAAATTTGAACCATAGCAAAATCACCAAACAAGCTGCCAAGGTGAGGACACTCAACATAGCAGATAAGGCCAGCTACTGTCTCGCCCTTTGTAGGACTTTCCCTGGACAATAGTTTGCACATTCCTGCATAACTGTGCACTTTAAAAACTGACACCTAACTACAAGGGCTCTCAGAGAACGCAGACCTCTGCCAAGGCCAAACACCCTATCTGTCAATGTACACAAAAGTGAAAACTAAATCATGTATTCACCCCATGATTCACTTCAAAATGTAATGGGTTCTACCTTAGCCCATGTTACACCTCTCCACCAACGTTCATGAAAATTGGGCTGGTAATTTTTCCCTAAATCATGCTGACAAACAAACAAATAGACCAAGAAACAAACAAACCAAATTGAGAATATTACCTCCTTGGTGAAGGCAATTACATATTCTTATTTTTTTTCACATTCTCTTGAAAATTATCCTATTTTTATTTTGTATTATGTCCCATACTGTTTATTGTCATGCACCAAACCACCAAGTCAGATTCCTTAAATGTACAAACCTACTTGGTAGTAAACATTCACACTTCACAAGAGCTAGTGCAAAGTTCAGTTCACACAGATTTAAATTAACTGGTTCACATTCATAGTTCACAATTTTAATTTTGAACTACTTCAGAAGTCCCCAAAATTGAACAAATTTATGTTAATGGCTTCTCACTCAGATCTTGTCACATATCGACATTTGGTCACAGACTTTCCATGTTGAGACATGACATGCAAAGTACCCTGGGCATGTTGGTTGTTGATGTTCTGGGTCACTTCAGCCTGTTACATGCATTGTCTGTTTTCATCGTTTAGCCAACCGTGGTTGGGCTTAGGACAATGGAGCAGGGTTTGGCTTTACAATCATATGGGAAGTGAACACTGGCCTCCTGGGTAAAAGTTTGTGGTTGTTGGACCCATCCACCACCCCTCCCACCAGCTCTGCTTGGATTTCCACTCCCTGAAACTTTCGTTGTTGTTCCGCCATGTTCACCACAATGTTGCTGGGCACCATTAAACAATAACAGTGACTGACTGAGCATAATGCCAGTGTGAAAGGACACCTTTTTTGTCGGCGTCTGATGCTTGAAGTCACTGACCAGTGCCGGTAGTCAATGACATTCGGAGTGAGAAAGAGTTGTATTTTTCCATGTTTTTATGTCTAAGTAACTAATGATGGCAACATTTTTTGAAACTGGTCCAGTAATGATTGAAACTGCTGTAGCTGGCAGCCACGAAACAGGTAACCACTCAGTGCATTTTTGCAACGTCAATGTAAGTCAGCTAAGAGTGTTTGTTTTTGCCTCCGACAGGCTGAGATTGTTATCATAAGCATAAGTTATCATTATGAAAAGAATCTCTACAGATAGACCTTTTAGAGTAAGACTTAATTAGAAACATCCCCAAAATTGCTAGCATCAAACAGGCCAGACTCCATTCGAATAAGCTGTAATTTTTTCATAGTAAAATACATTTCAGTCAAATTTGACAGAAACAAAATTAAACTAACAAGAGCCATCTTGGTTCCCACAATTACCAACTCTGGTTTAGTTGAAATAAACCCTTAATTCTCGCAGTTAGATGTGAAACATGCTGACTCTATAGACACTAAAATTACAATTTATTTAAATGGAGTCTGGTGTGTTAGGCAATAGCAATTTAGAGGCTGTTTCTGGTTAAACAGAAAGTATCTTACACCTTAACAAAAAGGTCTGTCTCTGTAGAGATCCTTTCCACAATGTTGCCAGGCACCTATAATAATAATCTGAGCCTGTCAGTGGCAAAAACAAATGCTTTTAGTGGACGTTCTTTGACAGAGCACAAATGCCCTTGTGGTTTTATTGCAGTCTGTTTCCCTGCTGCTGGTTGCAGTGGTCTCTCTCAATACTGGGGCAGTTTCATAAATTGTTGTTCTCATTGGTCACGTAGACAGAAAAAAATGGGAAAGTAGAGTCCAGGTTGAAAAATGATGAGGTCACCCTTTAAGTAACAAAACAAAGCGTATACAAAGTGTTGAGCTAGTGTACAGGCCGGTCAGTAATGACTTATAAAACTGCATCCACATCCTGACTTTGCCACATGTCACCAGATTCATTTTTTCCCTCACTGAGTCATGTTCTGTATTTGTTCCCTGCATTTGTGCAGATGTGAAGCTGCTGGAGGACCAGGCATTTGTGGAGGGCGTCCAGGAGCAGGTGAATGGGGCTCTCCTGGAGTACACTCTGTCCACCTACCCTCAGTTCCAGGAGAAGTTCAGCCAGCTGGTGGTGCGGCTGCCGGAGCTGCGCTCCCTCAGCACGCAGGCTGAAGACTACCTGTGCTACATGCATCTGAGCGGAGAGGTGCCCTGCAACAACCTGCTCATTGAGATGCTGCACGCCAAGCGAGCCTGTGTGTGAGGGATCCACGTGTGTTGCTCTAGGTGAGACTGTGTGTGTGGGAGGGAAAGTGTGAGTGAGATGAAAACAACCAAATGAAGATAGACAGGTTCATATTGGGTCATCCTTGTGAGGGCTTTTGTTTGAGTTAGAGAGGAGAAAATGTTCTTTAGAGTTTGGAATTATAAAGCTACATCTGTACTCAAGGTAGTTTGAACATTTTGAATGTTAATGTTTTCATATCCTGCAGAGCTACATTAATGTGACCTTTAAAAACTAGATTTTCTACCCTGTTTTCACAACTAGATTTGCCTGTAGAGTTGCATTATATTCTATTGGACCAAACTACACATGAATCCAACATCACCAAAAAGATTTTCTACATCCCACAGAGCTGCCCAGCAAACATTTAGACTCAGAGGAAGAAGCTTCAGCCTGCATCAGTGCTGCACAGTCATAAAAAACATGGTGTCAAAATGACTGTTAAGATATTTGTCTATAGCTGCTGCCTGCATCTTTTTGAAACATCTGCATCTAAATATTGTTCTGATATCACTGTAAAACTGTTTCCAATGCCACTTTAGGAATTGGGTGAGCTAATGTACACTTTTTCCAACAGATTTTGTAGCTTTTTTTTCAGAAACTGAATTTAAGTGTTAAGTCAGTCATTTTTGACCCAAATATCAGATGCAACTTTATGATTTCAAGTTCACCAACACTGTTCTTAGATCATTATTATTAAGTTTTAGATTTAAAGGGATAGTTTGGATTTTTTGAAGTTGGGTTGTATGGGATACATAGTCAGTGTCTTACAAACAGTAGATGTCAGTCAGCACACCCCCAGTTTGGAGAAGCATGATGGAGTCTGACATGAAAGCTAGGCAATTTACTGCTGTTGAGGGATCAGCAACAAAATGTATTATAGCCACCTAAAAGAATCAATATCAGTTTAAGTGTATGCTATATTAAGAATAGTTTCACTGCTTTACCTTTCCTTACCTTGTTTTCAAAATACACTTCTATTTTCACAGGAAATGTACAGTTTGCATACAGTGTCTTTCAAAAATTAATCAAACTACATCGGTAAAACACCTCAAATTGAGTTTTTTTTCCTTAAATAACAAACGCATGTGGTTATGTTTAGCTAACACCCGTATATGATTGGGTTTAGGCAACAAAAGTATGTGGTTGGGTTTAAGAAAAAGAAAAGGGTTTGGCTTTACAATCATATAGGAAATGAACACCAGTCTCCTGCGTGAAAGTCATTGGTTGTTGGTGACTTTAGTGAATGCGAACTTACCCTTTTAAACACCAGTGTCACACATTAACACAAACTAACTAACCAGCAGCAGTAGACCAGCAGCTCCTGTGTTCAGAAATGTTAAATTATAGTTTTTCTCAGTGGGGTGTGGCTTTGAAGAGAACGATGTAATGGCTTCATTTTCCCGTTAGAAATCGCTGTTTGACATTATGGTGAAACAGTGAAAATACTCTCAATATATTGTACACTTAAACTAACATTGATTTTTTTTAGGTGGCTAAGATATATTTTGTCGCTGACCCCAGTAGCAGATTGCTTAGCTTGCATGTTAGACTGCTGCCTGCTTCTCCAAACTGGGGGTATACTGACTGACATCTACTGTATGTCATATACTGTTTATAGATTGATTAGTCACACAACCCTACTATAAAAATGAATTATTCCTTTAAGACAGACTTTAGGATAACGTGACACACTGTGGTCTCGTTAGAATAGACTATCACTTCTGCCCATATCTCTACATTTGTTCTTTTTGCCACCAATGTTTTTTTTTTTTAAAAAAAAAAAAAAACTAAATATGAAAGCTCTATGGGGTTCAATATAGTTTTGTTTTAATCTATTTAGATGTTAATATATTTATATATCAAAGCCAGACATGTTAAGAACAACACATTCAGTTATTCATTGCTCTTACCAAGAAAGAGAAAATACAAGGGAGAGAAAGACGGATAAGGACAGAGACAAAGAAAGAGGCAGATTTTAAAAAAAGTGAATGAAACAGAGAGAAAAACTGAAAACTAAAGAAAGCCAGAGCAGAGAGGTGCAGTAAGAGGAGATAGAAAAGATATATAAATGACAGTAAGAGGAATGACAAAGACAGCATTTTTCTTTCTTTAAGTAAAGATGCGAATAGCAAAAACAAAGCGTCATAATTGCCCTTCAGTTTTTTACTGAGGAGCCAGAGAGAGACAACACAGGGAGGGAAAAGATACATCTGGCAACATTTGGTTTCAAGTTTCTTTGTAAAATTGAATTTGTTTGTTGGTCAATGTCCCAAGAAACAATAGATCTTCAAAAAATGAAGGTGTGGTGTTCACACTCATGTTTGTGTCACTTTTCAACACACTGCACAGTATGTGGACTAGAGATCAACTGATCTGTGTGCTGATACTGATATGGTTTGCACTGAAGCAGCTATACCAATTTTACCAATTTTTTTTAGTATCCACAATGAAAATAACTTATACATTATCTATAAAATGTTAATGCTCATTTTTTTCTTATTGTCAACAAATCTCATAAAAAGAACCCAACAACAATATGTTATTCTGTCTCTCAATACTCAATAACTTCCCTACCCTGCCTGTGGCTGTCAGTCTCAAACCCTCTCTCTCAGTATTCCTTGTTAAACCAACACTGAAACACACTGGGTGCCTACTGAACTCCTACTACTTCATGTTGGTATTAATATTGACCAGCAATAGAGAACACAACAGCTGTATATAACACACAGTCTGTTTAATTCACAGCATCACTGATGTGCATGTTAAATATAAACTGGTGTGCCATAAACACATGTGGTTGGGTGTCTGCCACTTTAACAGACTGGAGGATGATCTGAGTTTCACGTGTCACTTGTCTTTAGTAAACTGGGTCTGCAGTTGATGTTTTTACTCAACTGTATTGCTGTGAACTAATCAGGTTATAAATATGTTGGTGGCCAAAACATAACCTGTTCTCACAGAAATATATGAAATGACCACAACCTCATGCAACAGTTTGTGTGACATCTTACGAATTAGTGACCCTTGACTGATGTAACGTACTTAACATAAAGTTACGTACTTAATGTAAAGTTAGATAGGTTAAGTTTACGCAAGTAAAGTACTTGGATTGAGCCTGTCAGTTCTTAGATTTAAGAAAAGAAACATGGTGACCATGTACCTTAAAATAAATTCACACAATTCTGAACACCAGTCTCCTGGGGGGAAAGTCTTGTTTTTTGTGACCCATCCACCACCCCAACTTGCCTCCTTAAGAGGACTGCTCGCTGCTTTACTCCCGCATTGACATTTTTTTCCTTCAACAACAAATGCAAGTGGTTACGTTTAGCCAACACACACTCAGGATTGAGTTTAGGCAACAAAAGCATGAAAAAAAGAACAGGATTTGGCTTTACAATCTAACGGGAAGCAAACACCACCCTCCCGGGTGAAAGTTGGTGGTTATTGGACCCATCCTCCACCCCTCCCACCCACCGTACTTGGACTTTCACTCCCCTGATTTTCATTGTCCAGGGATGGAAACAGTGCAGTTGGAAAGGCAATAGGATCATTTGTCATAGTTTACACTCTAATTTTCTGGTTCAACATTGTCACATGTTGGACAGTGGTTAACCATACAACCTCATAAGTAGTATAAAGAGGAGGAACATCTGCGTAGGGAGGAGGCTGGATTTTTAAGTGAGAGACTGCTGTCTGTGGTCCATGTGAAACTAAAAGTCAACGCGGACTTCATTTAACTTAACATACTTATGTCTCTTACATTATGTCCTGTATGTTACAAACATAGTTGCTTTAACCAAAAACAAAATCTTTTTCAAAACCTTAAAAAGTAGTTTTGTTGCCTAAACTTAACTGTGCTGCCACCACTTAATGCAGTGTTCAGAGGTCATGGACATTTCATGTATTTCTGTGAGACCACGTTGTGAAAACAGATCATTTTTACACAATGAGCTTGTATACAGACTATGTGTCAGGTAGGTGTGTGCTCATTTGGATACAAATAAGAGCCAGTACAGACAGCCTCTCCTCCAAGATCAGCATTAGTGCTTATAGTTTTAATGTGCTGATGGCTGTTCAATCCTTTTAATATTTTTTTGAGTTTTGACCGTTACTCACCTGACCTGTTTGCCCCCCCACCCCCAGTGTCTGGATGTCCAATTTGTTTGACCTTGTCTCCGAAGAACTGCGTTTTTACAAAGCGCAGAATATTGCGTCCAGAGTCATATGTATGGTTAGACTCATACTCATTTGTTAATTTTTACGGATGGGACGGATGGTTCACTGGAGTTGTACCTTGTATGATTTCATGTGACAAATAATTGATAGAATATAGCATAAAATATTTGATTTTCTGTGCCCTAATAATTGCCATGGTCTCAGAGCATAGGATGAGGCAGACTGGTTTTGAGCTTCCCATCTGTCCATTCTTGATTAAAAATTGCTCATTTCTATCTTATTTTCTCTCCGTAGAACATGTGAAATTATTTTTTTCTGACTCTCTCATTTCTCTGACTGTTGTTTCCATCACATCTCTCCCGTGTGTGTATCTCATTCACTTGCAATGCTTATTGGAATGCACAGATTTGATTGGCTGAGTAGCATCATGTGAGATTATTTAATGTATGCAACTGGACTGTGAGTTTGCTGGTAGCTCAACCAGTGCTATGAACTTTATACCAGCTAAAATAGAAACACTCCATTAAAATTTATTGATTCTTCACAATTTATTGTTTAGAGATCTGGGTTGGCATCTGGGCCCGGACCTGGAGGAGAGGGATGACAGCTTAACAAGATTGAAGTATTTTGCAAATTTTTCTTACAAGGGGATTGTGTTCCAACTGAAATCGCCTATGGGGCCTATATTTGCCTCAGATTAGGAGATGTGGATTTTGGTTAAATATTGAAAAAGTAATCATCCCACCTTATGGTTGAAGTTGTTCCTCAAAATGGCGGAATTAGCTGTCAGGGAATTAGCTGTCAATGAGCACTGGGGCTGGTTGCACAAAACACCTTAACTTAGGATTTTAAGTCTGACTTAAGGTTTCCTTACAATGAAATCAGTTCCACCATACACCCTTTAGTGTTCTCCTTGAGGTTTCCTTCAAATGTAAATATTTAAGGTTTTTTCCTTATCTTGGTCTTATACTCAAGGAATCCCTAAGCCATTGCACAAAAGACCTTAGCAACCAAAGTAAGGGGAAAAAAAACATATGGTACCTCTTAATCTTAACTGCAACATGGCTGAGTTTATGGCAATAAACAGCCCGTTCTCATTCTGAAGTTGTTGAATACCGCCACTTTGTCAGTGATTTCAGTGTCAGACACCTGAAGCCAAAAGTCACCTTTCATGGTGTTATGAGACAACAAACCCAGACTTTCAATTGGGAGCCCACTGTACACTTCCCGTATAAATGTAGAGCCACACCATATGTCTAAACCTAAACATGTGCTC